GAACCTAGAGGGAAAAAAATGGAAATGGAGGATGCCAAATCGCTCCAAACAGTGAAGTGTCTTCTTACAATGAATGGAAGTAAAGAAAAGGATAGGGAAGGCAATAAGTGAATATTTCCATGTAACTATATAGCTCTCAGAAGTTGAATCCGAGTTATTTACGAGTTTATGCAGTCAAAATTAAAGTGTGAGCAGCTCGAATGGTTTGAGAATTTGAGTTCCAAACTTATCATTCAAGTTATTGAACTTAATTGAACTCAATCAAACTTTAAATTTGTATATTTTTTTTGAATTCTTCATATTTATTAGTGTAAAATGTCTATCATGTCCTTGTTTAAAAGTGTATAAATATTAATTTATATCAGTTGAACTCGATTGTAGAGCTAGATCCAATTTGAGCACGAATAACTTGTAATCTAATCTAACTCGAGCTAAAACTAAAGTTTTAAGAGCTCAAATAGTTTGACTTCAAACTAGAGTTCAAGTATTTTAGGTTGAGTTGCACTCTAATAATACAGTGCTTGAACTCGACTCAATTTACTTGCCCCTATTCCTACTATTGTCCTTTAAAAAGTCAAATCTTCTCAACCGAAGGGGCAAACATGTAAAAACATATTACAACATTTTAGTTTTTTATATGTTAAACTCTCAAAAAACTCAGAAAAAAAAAAAAAATAGAAATCATTTCTCTTTTGTCCTTTTTCCTCATAACTTGCTCTTTCTTTTCTTTTCCTTTAACTCTAGGAAAATCGTTCAAACATTTCTCATATTTCGACAAATGAATTTTTTATCTTTCACTTTTAAAATGTTATTTTACATCTCTTATAAAATTAAGTAGGTCAAATATGATCTCACCCTAAGTTTTTTACTACTTTTTAGTCTAAATACAACCATGTGATGTACACGTGATAATGTTTATAGGTTCAAAAAGGTCAGATCCCGTTTGTATTTAAACTTATTACTCGACCTACGTTCATTTTTGTCCCTAACAAATGTGCAATTAATCAAATTACCTTATCCACAACTATTTTTACCCCTAAAAACATGACGCTTGATCTTTTTACACCTAAAAAAAAAATAATCACATGTGGGTCATGTGATGAATTCAGATTAAAATGTAATCGAAAACCTAAGTTAGGATCAAATTTAGCCTGACTTAATTTTGCAAAGAACATAAAGTCAGCATTTTAAAAGTGAAGAACGAAAAAATTATTTAAAAAAAATGTGAGAACGTTTTAAACAATTTTCCCCATGCTAAACTGGCTAACAAGGCCTTAAGGAAACCAAAGCGGCAAAAATGTGTTCTTCTCGCATAAAATCTTGGGGTTATGACTTTTATTTGGAATACAATTTTACAAATGCATCTTTTTCTTGGACAATGTACACTTAAGTTCGTCGATTGGAAAAGTAAAACCTTGCACCTGCTCGTATAATCGAACCTCTTTGAATTTGTTTGAGATGAAAAATCTGTAGAAGGCTAGGCTATCTCCTCGGAATCAATTCTGATGATTATAAGTAAGAAAAGTTCCAACAAAGAAAGTAGTTTTTAGATAGAGGTTCCGAAATCACCATTACCTCTCTTCCTTGGCGACCTACTACTTTTATTTACCTTTGCACAATTTTTCACGTTGAGACCTCAAGATCGAGATCTCATGATAACATGTCAAATTGAAATCTGCTCAACCTTTTTATAGTCAGTTCGTGACTCATCAATCTTTTAAATGATTTAATTTGCATGTCATGATAGTTGTCAAGACACAGATCACCTTTGCATGATCTCCACTCGTTACCTATTTTCTATTTTTCCTCTCCTTTCATCGATTTAGGATCAAGATGCGTGGATTTATTTCTTTCCTAACATAGTCTAGAGTGATCTTCGTTCGCTGCAGTTATGATATTGTGTACAAGGGGAGTGCAATGTTGCTTAAACATAAGTCTAGATTCTCCAGAATGATAGTCATCCACAACCGTGGGCGATTTTGTATGGTATGGGGCCTACGTTGCTTTCTTTCCTACTCCACGTAGAAGCGGGGGAAGCTTTTTGCTATCTGCCGACGTGGATGGGGCTGGGTTCCGCTTCTACTACGCAAGCTCAAATCACGTATGACGTAACCCTCTGGTTTCATTTTGTCAACATTACCAATAATACTCGTATAAGAGTAGAATTATGTTATCAAGAAAGGGTGTGCGTATACATATACATATACATATATGTATGTATTTGGGTGTGTACACACTTCTATATGGTATAAGGAACAATGAACTTGGTTTGAGAAAAAATTGTGGGGTTTGTCCAAGTGATCATGATGATGATTACAGCATGTTGACAGTGGTTTACAAATTTTTTTTTTTTTTTTTTGGGTTTTTCGTATTCTCTTAAGAGGAGTATAGGTTAGAAAGGGTTCACAAATTCATATTAGTTTGTGGTTTATACTTCATACTTTGTGAAATTTATTCAGAAAACAAACATGATGGATGACATGAGGTGAGACAGGGAGAAACGGTAAAAGTAGGTCGGTGGTGGATGACTATTGAAATTTCAGTAGTGTGTTGAGAATTGAGAATATACGACTTTCCGTCCACGCAATAAACAAATCAAGAAACTGGAAATTGAAGATGTGAGAATCATCTATTCCGTTCGATTTCTATTCTATTCTAGTGGTCTTACGACTTCAATTTTTCAAAACCTAATTTTTAAGTCGGCAATTTTGTGTTTGGTCAGGTTTTGTTGGTAGGATGAGATGTTGTGCTGAACCAATTTATACCGATCACGCCACTATTGAATTTTCCTCCTCCTTTTTTTTTTTTTTTTTTTTTTTGGGTTTCAGAGGCATGTTTCTCCAATATGAGATAGAAGAGAATAGCACAACGTGACCAGTAAAACAAAGTGACAAGAACGGACAACAGCTGAAACTTGGGGATGTAGCCTGACTAGAGATAAAGCTTGAAAGCTTGGCCACCTGCGTCAGCAAGCAAAATAGGGGTGCCGACAGGTCGGTCCATTCTAAGGCTACGGCCTATGGGCAGCCACAGCCGCTGCTACACTACAGGCTGCTAATATTATTGAGAATGATGGCGCCTTTCAACCGTCAGCCTCCTTTTCTTGGCCTCCAAAAATCTGTTTATGCCTTTTTACGCACTTGATAGCGGCAGCAAATGGGCATGCTTTCAACTAGGCCATGCTCAGCATCAGCAGGAGTCCACAAGGGGACCAGCCGAAGATGCATCCTTCCTTATATGGCAAGTGTGTCGATACAGAAGCTCTAAGCATAGGAACCTGCTGCATTATTAAAACATGACAAGAGACCTACTACCATCCTCGACAATTTTACGATGTGGTATGGTACTCCATGTTGGCTGTGCAATTACATTAATATCCCATTACACAAATAATAGGCAAATCTTCTTCTTCTTCTTCTGCTGCTGCTGCTGTTGTTGTTACTGCAGACAAATGATTGAAAAAAATCTCAGCAGCGTGGCCTCAAAATCAGTAGTCTGGACAGAAGAAAAGCAATTCCGGCATTCAGGTACGCAACTACAAGCAAGGAGTTCAAAAGCCAGTTACTTTAGAAGCATCCTTTTCAAAGAGGTGGTATAAAAGAATTACTTTCCTTACTTACACAGCCTCCAAATTCAATGGTCCAAACTGGTAAGATATTTAATGCGAATATGAATTAAGGCAGCCGTGTAGACCTGCGTTGGCACCAAAGCAACCGCATCTAGCCATCGAAGATTTTGTTGGTACTACTTTTATTTACCTTTGCACAATTTTTCACGTTGAGACCTCAAGATCGAGATCTCATGATAACATGTCAAATTGAAATCTGCTCAACCTTTTTATAGTCAGTTCGTGACTCATCAATCTTTTAAATGATTTAATTTGCATGTCATGATAGTTGTCAAGACACAGATCACCTTTGCATGATCTCCACTCGTTACCTATTTTCTATTTTTCCTCTCCTTTCATCGATTTAGGATCAAGATGCGTGGATTTATTTCTTTCCTAACATAGTCTAGAGTGATCTTCGTTCGCTGCAGTTATGATATTGTGTACAAGGGGAGTGCAATGTTGCTTAAACATAAGTCTAGATTCTCCAGAATGATAGTCATCCACAACCGTGGGCGATTTTGTATGGTATGGGGCCTACGTTGCTTTCTTTCCTACTCCACGTAGAAGCGGGGGGAAGCTTTTTGCTATCTGCCGACGTGGATGGGGCTGGGTTCCGCTTCTACTACGCAAGCTCAAATCACGTATGACGTAACCCTCTGGTTTCATTTTGTCAACATTACCAATAATACTCGTATAAGAGTAGAATTATGTTATCAAGAAAGGGTGTGCGTATACATATACATATACATATATGTATGTATTTGGGTGTGTACACACTTCTATATGGTATAAGGAACAATGAACTTGGTTTGAGAAAAAATTGTGGGGTTTGTCCAAGTGATCATGATGATGATTACAGCATGTTGACAGTGGTTTACAAATTTTTTTTTTTTTTTTGGGTTTTTCGTATTCTCTTAAGAGGAGTATAGGTTAGAAAGGGTTCACAAATTCATATTAGTTTGTGGTTTATACTTTATACTTTGTGAAATTTATTCAGAAAACAAACATGATGGATGACATGAGGTGAGACGAGGGAGAAACGGTAAAAGTAGGTCGGTGGTGGATGACTATTGAAATTTCAGTAGTGTGTTGAGAATTGAGAATATACGACTTTCCGTCCACGCAATAAACAAATCAAGAAACTGGAAATTGAAGATGTGAGAATCATCTATTCCGTTCGATTTCTATTCTATTCTAGTGGTCTTACGACTTCAATTTTTCCAAAACCTAATTTTTAAGTCGGCAATTTTGTGTTTGGTCAGGTTTTGTTGGTAGGATGAGATGTTGTGCTGAACCAATTTATACCGATCACGCCACTATTGAATTTTCCTCCTCCTTTTTTTTTTTTTTTTTTTTTTTTTTTGGGTTTCAGAGGCATGTTTCTCCAATATGAGATAGAAGAGAATAGCACAACGTGACCAGTAAAACAAAGTGACAAGAACGGAAAAACAGCTGAAACTTGGGGATGTAGCCTGACTAGAGATAAAGCTTGAAAGCTTGGCCACCTGCGTCAGCAAGCAAAATAGGGGTTGCCGACAGGTCGGTCCATTCTAAGGCTACGGCCTATGGGCAGCCACAGCCGCTGCTACACTACAGGCTGCTAATATTATTGAGAATGATGGCGCCCTTTCAACCGTCAGCCTCCTTTTCTTGGCCTCCAAAAATCTGTTTATGCCTTTTTACGCACTTGATAGCGGCAGCAAATGGGCATGCTTTCAACTAGGCCATGCTCAGCATCAGCAGGAGTCCACAAGGGGACCAGCCGAAGATGCATCCTTCCTTATATGGCAAGTGTGTCGATACAGAAGCTCTAAGCATAGGAACCTGCTGCATTATTAAAACATGACAAGAGACCTACTACCATCCTCGACAATTTTACGATGTGGTATGGTACTCCATGTTGGCTGTGCAATTACATTAATATCCCATTACACACAAATAATAGGCAAATCTTCTTCTTCTTCTTCTGCTGCTGCTGCTGTTGTTGTTACTGCAGACAAATGATTGAAAAAAATCTCAGCAGCGTGGCCTCAAAATCAGTAGTCTGGACCGAAGAAAAGCAATTCCGGCATTCAGGTACGCAACTACAAGCAAGGAGTTCAAAAGCCAGTTACTTTAGAAGCATCCTTTTCAAAGAGGTGGTATAAAAGAATTACTTTCCTTACTTACACAGCCTCCAAATTTAATGGTCCAAACTGGTAAGATATTTAATGCGAATATGAATTAAGGCAGCCGTGTAGACCTGCGTTGGCACCAAAGCAACCGCATCTAGCCATCGAAGATTTTGTTGGCATAGAAATTTCTGTATCCGACAAAAGAGTGTTGGAATCTTACTCTGTTTGACAAAAGCATTTCTTTGAAGCTATTAGTAACCCATAGAACAGAAATCCTCAATGAACGAACATATAGCCATTCAAGTTTTAGCATGGCTTCGGACAAACCCATATTTCACCAAACTATAATGGACCGCAATAAAGAATATGAGAAACCCAAGTCATGGCAAATAATTTAATGGCCAACCAGTGAGAACAAATCCATTATGCTTTATCCTATCTAACATTGTAGCGACCAAAAATCATAAACTATCATCCCCTCAGCTGTGCCAACAAATCTTTCATGTTCAAGACAACTAAAGAAAGAAAAGATTCTGTTACTACTATCCGTAGCTTTTAGGAGTTCCTTTCTTAAACTGTGGTGGATTTTAATGTGCGTCACCTGCAATGAGAAAATGTGGGCCTAAGACAGCCGATGAACTAAAATATAACTGGAGGAAGTATTGTCTGCCACAACATGCCATAGAATCAAATGGGAGAATAACTAACCTCGTGCATAAGACCAGAAGTGAGAAATGATGAAACACATAAACCTCCATTTCTGCAACATGACGGACACTATAATCCTCAACATCCCAGAATGAAAGGAAAAGCAAGACAACATCAAGGACCTAAAGTAAGACTCAAATCTGCAATAGCACTGGAGAGCCAAAAATGCAAGTTGAGAACCACTATTACCATCGTAATCCCACTTTCAAAGAAATGCAAGGGATGCTCCAGAGATTAATACATTATTTCTCCAGAAAAAGGCATAGGTAATTATTTATAGAGGCCAACAGACTCGCAAAAGCTCGATATGCATACCCCAGATAAATTAAATAAGCACATTAAACCACACCAATCATAATCTCAAATCACAGCACCCAAAGCCAACTATTCACGAATATAACTTCCTTTGTAAGCTCCCCAAAAAAAATTTTTTCCTTTGTAAATATTCAAACAAAAAAGGAAAAAAGATTGCATACCAGAGCATGGCACCGGGAAATTAATGCCTATATGATCAGATATTTCCTACTATAATCTCTTTGTACAGATCAAGAGGCTAAGACCCATATAAAATGTTGAATAGTTGCTCTATTTTGAACAAAGACACAGAACACTTTTATATTGCAACAAGTGAAAAGACATTGGACCTTTCAAAAGCCAATAGAGGTCCTGAATGATATATATAGCTATTTCAGTAATAGGCAATTCAAACACATAAGAACTAGATATTCAAGAATATACTTTGCTGAAGCCTAATGAAGTTTTTACAACAAAGCTTGTCAGTTGGTAGAATTGTTCCTAAGATGGCTGATGCATTTTTGATATGTTACTAGATTACGCATATAGTGTGCTTCTCTTCTCCTTCTTTTGTTCTCTGTTTTTCTTTTTAATTTTTCCCTATTATAGTTAACGTGCATTCAATATACATAATAACCAGCTTTGTCAAAAATGACTTAGCTGTGTGCCTGATGCGTCTCTAATGACTTAGTTACTTCTTCTTGTACCTTGGTCTTACAATACCAGCAAAAGTATGTTGTTTATCTCTTACATCTTTTTCCTTGTTTTCATACCATTAGTGGGGTCCGAAAATTCTGACCCCTGTTTTGTTTTCATTCTAGAGGATGTGGTTCAAGTCAGTGCGATGCTGATCCTCATGTCAAGAATCTTTTTTACCGGTGGATTAACAGAACAGGTCCTCCTATGTGAAGAAGACAAACTGAACAACCTCTACATGTCACCCAAAGAAGCCTGGAGCAAAGGCAGAGATGACTGCAAAACCTTTCCAATTATCAAGGTTAAAATCCATAGCACTTCCACTTCAGAACATATTATGTAGGTGGATCACCACATTGTGTTATATAACCAACTAGTGTGTTAATATGACTGATGAAATGCAATATTACTAATTTAATGACAATCACCTGTCTAACAGTGATTTCAGGTGACAAGAAGAGTCAATGCATTGCAAAACTCCCAACATTCATGAAAAAAACTATTGCATATTTGCAAATGATGGCTTAAAAAAATTAGAGATAATCAATTGATTAATCTGCATTAGGGGGAAAAAATGCTCACAGTTATACATTTCTAGACAAAAGTCACATAAAAGAAGCAAAGTCGCCAAGGTTTTGAAGTATAGCCTAAATACACTTATTTTGAGGGATCAAAGTACATCAATAAGATCTTTGAAGCCACATACAAGATAAAACACAGAAACAGTCCTTGAAACAGCTGAAATACATCAATTTCAAGTAACACCTCATTGATGGCAAATAGAAGATAAAACACAGAACAGTCCTTGAAATAGCTAAAATACATCAATTTCAAGTAACACCTCATTGATGGCAAATAGAGGGGGGAACAGAAAAATCTCTTTCATAGATAGCACAGCATAACCTTTCTTGAAATCACATATCCGCAGTGGGAAATAATTAAATCTTTACGAAACGATCATGCAAGTCTAGCAAGGTACGTGGAATATTGTCGGTAGAAGATTTGAAAAGTACACTACCAAAAGCATCAACCTTCAGGATACGGTCATGTACAAGGTTGGTGTCCTGTCTTAAACACATAGCATTGGAAAATGCAGTTAAATATCCCCGAGCAAGAACAGAAAATGACCTGATAAGTTCAACAAAATTGTCTGGCAAATCAAGAATCCGAGCAGCTAATTCCATGTGCAGTTAGGAATTAACTCTTGTTCCCATTATTATCCCTTAATTGATACTTAGCATGAAGCAGACAAATCAGCGTTAATCTCATATCAGGCCATGCCAAAAATATCACACTACCGAACCATTTACAGAAGCACAGTTTACCAGAATTGCAAACCATCCTCTTCTACCCCTTCCTCCTCACTGTCTAAAACATAATCTTCCTCCTCAGTGTACTCATCAGGATCTTCCTCGTCATCAATAGAATTTTTTAGTCCAATCTGAACATAACCTCTTTGATTCTCCCTCAGCCAGTCCTGTTCCTCTTCCCTGTCCTCATCCTCTTCCTCCTCCCCTTCAGAAAATGCCGAAATTCTCATTCCATCAAATTCCGTTGTCCCAACAAGCTGATCCATCAAGCTGTCTACACTCCCCTCCCCGTTTAATCCCCCGTCAAACTCACTGACTGAAAACCTCCCAGTCCTCCTCCCTCCAGATTCCCTCCTCCTCTTTATCCGCGACACCAAATCATCCTCCTTAATCTCCCCATTCTCCACATCATTCCATGGCACCCATAAATCCGCTTGCCTCCCTAATGCTCTGTACCCATCGCCAATGACAACAGTCCCCAAATTGGCCGCCCTCGCCCTCCTCAACATCTCAGAAAAATCTGAATCATCCGAAACCAAAAGCAACCAATCAATCCCTCTACTCATAGAATGCTGCATTTGCCTTTTCAATGCCCAGTCAGCAGCCTGTGGCTTATCCTCCACCGTTTTCACAAACACCCCAGCTCGACTAAGCTCGGAGGCTAATCCATACCCAACTTTCGGCGAAGTCAAAGTCCTTGCAGCTTCATTATACTTCTCATTGCCATCAATAAACCTTTCTTTAAAACGCTGTCGTTTCTTACCTTTCAATGACCTCATTCTGTTCAGCTTCTTTTGCCTCTCCCTCTCATGCAACTGCCTAAAATGCTTCTTTAAATCCAAATGTGTCTTACATTTTCTCCCGCAAACAGAGCAAATATACGGTTCAGAAGGGGTAGAAACACCTTTCCTCTCAAGAATGTCCATACGCCGTTGTTCTCGGCGTTCTTCAACAACCCATTGAGGCAAATGAATGAAAGCGTGTCGATTAGCGTAAGCAGAGATATCAACCAGGTCGCCGAAATGCTGGGCCACTTTTTTTAAGGCCATCGCCGCCTGGTACGGCGGCCCGCGAGGGGGCTTGTTATCTAAGTCCCATAAGACCACTACTTTCTTAGGCTTAGCTGTGTAGATGCCTTCTTTGGTTCTCACCATATCGATTTCGCTCTCGGCTGCAGCTGCTGCTGCTGCACAGGCTCTGATGTTGGCCCATTTACCAGATGAATTGGGGTCGGATAGGGAGAGGGGTTTTGGGGGTTTTTGGGGGGCGAATTGCGGAATGAGAAAAAGGGGTTTGGGGAATCTGTAGTGGGAGAATGGTGGAGAATTTAGGTGGATGAATTCAATGGAGGTGCATAGGGAGTTAATCATGGTAAACTTTATAGCTTATGGGTTTTTGGCGGGGGATTCCGGGATTGTGTAGGTGGTCGCAGGGAAGAGGAAGGAGACCTTGTGGAAGTTGAGATAATTTCAGGAGGGAGATGAGAATATTCTCTGCCTCCAATAGCAGCAGCTGAATGTTCGGGAAATGCAGGTGCACGAATCTTGTTGGTTCTGAATCACGTCTTCAACATGAACGCGCTTCGTCTTATATCATACCCGTTCTGCGCCTTTGCCTTTCATTTGGGGGATTTTTTTTTCTTGGATCAATGTATAGCTGAAAAACGCTCAATGATTACGCCATGATATATATATATATAAAGGTTTTGAATGGAAAAAAAAAGCATATATAGGTTTGCGAAATTGGGAGAATATGAACTTGGAGGAGTGAGTATGGTGTTCAAGGGATCGATGTTTTGTGCTGCGACCAAGTTGCCTTGGGCATTTCCCGTTTTTCAAGTCAGCAAATCACAAGTCTGTAGCAATCCAAGTGAAGTCTCAAATTGTTTACGCTCAAAAGGATGAGCAGGTTTTATCATATTACTGACAAAAGACTTCCTACATATTATGCACTGCCATCTCATATATTAGAACGAACGATCCAAAACATTATTGACATTTCTGCGACATTCATTCAACTGCCCAGCGTCCTCCTGCTGTTGAAAAGTCCATAACCGTTTTGTTTTGGATTTGAGATCCAAAACAATTGGAGAGTGGAACCAACCAACGAATGGGAGGAATGGAACTTAATCTGGATTGTAGGGCGGGCAAAAGCGCAGAACTGCCAAACAATTTTCATTTGCCGGTGGTCCAAACTAGTCATTACCACTTTACCAGTCGAGCAGAGGTGTTGGTGTCCTGAGCTGAGATGGACCAGTGGTAATGTGGGAGAGAGCCCATAAGCATAAAGGAGGAAGGTAGTAGGTACTAGTAGAACCTAACAAGTGGATGTAAAAAGCCCATTATTCAGGTGTCTGTCTGCTGACACATTGGTGACGTTGAGTGACATCTCAAATACTACATACTTTTTGCGATGTCCGAGATTAATCTTCAATCATGCCTTACTTCTCTAATCATTCTCCGGGATACTTTTGTCCGGTTGGAAGAGGCAAAATGGGATGGACAAGCTCCTGTTTAGATGGTTTTGCTTGCCTACTACTACCACAGTAGTAGTAATATTTATCTTAACCCCATATGACTCAGTTTCCAATATTTGCTTTGCTTGCAGCATCCAATTTGTTTATTTGGTGGGATTCTTGTTCTTCCTTTTCTTTTTTCATCTTGCAGCAGAGCAGCGCTTTTGTCGTAGCCAAAATTACCGTTGTGCTTCGTGAAAGGGGAGGTCCTTTGCTTAATTGAATTCACACATAATTAATGTAAAATATCAAATACATAAAAATATCAAATTAGTGATACAATTAATTACTGAGCTCTGGATGAGATAGTGACTAGCATTTGGAAGGGAGCAAGCGTGTCAAAACCATTTGTAAGTTTTGTTTTTCAACTTGACGTCAATACAGGTTGGTTCAATTAATAAAAAAGTAACACTTCCTCACAAAAATTGGTCCCAATATGAGGACTGTGTTGGTGTGCAATTTATAAGGATTTCTGTAAGCGATCTATAGATTCAGAGATATACTCTGATCGGTAACGATGATTGAAATCGAGCACACTCAAACTTTTCATGATAATCAGAAAAAAAAAATGCATTTGTAACTTGCCATAACATAACGTTGTTCACTTGGCTGGTTCAAGTGCTCGGACTTGCCTGTGCGCTTCACTTGACTTCTTTCATTCTCACAGCAAGTTTCCCGTCTCACCAAAAAAATAATAATAATAAAATTAAATGCTTTGATTGCACTGTTTGATGACATCACTTTCTTACTTTTGGATAATTATTCAAGGGACGGACAGCAGGATGGATGAGTCAGTAGTGTATTATAGTGGTGCTCTATGGAGGAGAATTTCATACTGTTCTGTGCTTTTATAATATCATACTGATGATGTGTTAGATTAATAATAATAATAATTTGAGTAGATGAGAATTTGGTGGGAGATGATGTGGATCATTTATGATTGTGATTCTCGGATTTACAGGTTGTCTGGATCCTGAATGGCGTTGACGCCACCATTATTCTCTAACCTCCCAACAATACATTACTACTTTAATTAAATCACATTTTAGTCAACCAAATTTTTTTCAGGATTGAATTTGAAAATCAGGCTTATACTAGCCTAACGTGGATTAGACAATAATTAATATTATACTCAAGAATCTCTAGTGATGCTAATTTTTTCTTTTTTTTGTCTTTTGTAACTAAGTGAAATTTCTTGCGAACCAGCAATACCCAACGACAAAAAAAGTTAGGTTCACTCAAGACTTCAAGAAATGGGGCAGCTGCAACGCGTCCTTTATTCATTCCAGATTAAGGCCTTGTTTGGATTGCCGGTTTCCGTCGAAAAATTACGTCGTTTTCTGTGATCACATTTCCCTATTACCTTTTTCCCTCACATACATCAAATCGCTACAGTAATTTTTCCATGAAAAATCACGGAAAATGCAATCCAAACACAACCTAAGATGTTTCAAATCAAATCTTGAAACGCACGCAAATATTTACCATTGCCAAAACAAAAAAAAAAAGGCATCAAATATCTTACGTTAAAATTATAAAGTAAAATATTTCGGTCCTGTCTATTGATTGTTATCGGCCAAGATTTTTATTTTATATTTTTTGAAGTAGACAGCATGCGTTAATCAAACAGAATCATATGTATGTTAACTACTCCATTAACTAAAAGAACCCATCTGCTAAAATTCTAAATTCCCCCAGAAAAAGTTGCTTTCACATTCACGAGGAATATTATGCAAATTTAAGAGACCTGATGTACTTGTGAGGCCTCAAGACAAAAAACTAACTATTTTCAAAATTCCCTGCACTAAAAAAAAGAACAGAGAATAATTCACGCCTTTTGTTTCCAGGCTTAAGCAAAATGATTACTGCTTTCACTGGCCCCCCGGCCCCACCACCTGAATAGATTGATTATTCTAACCTCAAATAGATTTAACTGCTGTCGACAAAAAACTACCGTCACCCAACCATCTTCCCTTGCGATAAATCTTTGCTCTTCCCTCGTTTGTCTTTTCCCTTTTTAACATTTGTCTCCATCGGTTCATCCCCTTTTTGTTAGAAGTAATCCACGCCTTTTTAAGAATGTTTCAGCCTCTCTCTCTCTCTCTATATCTCTATCTCTCCTTGTCCTTGAGGACCCTGACCAAGGTTTGGTTCTCTAGAAGGGCTGGCTTCGCACAAAAATTGATAGATTGACTTCTCTACCCTTTGAAAATGAAATTGAAGTTAATCAACAATCCACGGCGCCCCACTAATACTTTCACGCATTATCTTGAAGGTTTTCAACCTAGTCGTCCGGTTGCTTCTTTTACATGCAACTGTGTAAAAGCGATAACTTGGTTCGCAACTTGAACTAAAACGCCATTTCGTTAAAGTTAAAATAATAATTAAAAAAAATCTACATCTACCCACAAGTTGATCTAAAAGACCATCTTAGCAAAGTGAAGAAAAAAAAAGAAGAAATCTGGTAATATAAGCATCCTTTTTTTTTCCTTCTCTTTCAAGGAAGATTTTTAAATTTTGCAAAGAATATGGTAAAAGAAAGAAGGTTTGAGTGTTAAATTATGAACTTTACTATTGGAACCTTGATGCTTGGATCTATTTAACGGGTGCCCTCGTCGTTAAAATATGTTTCAGATGTTATATTTTTGATAAATATAAAATTAATTTTTTTTTAAAAAAAGTAAATAAATATAAGGGAAGGTGAGTGAGATTCGGTAGGAAAAAGCATATAAATGCAATGGAGGATAATAATAAATATATAAATGCAATGGAGTATTTCTTATACAGCTTAATTGCTGTTGGTGTTAATTTTATGGGATAATTTCACAAACCTCCCCGAGATTTTTAACAATTACAAATAGCTCTTCTCAGGTTTTAAAAATTACATATACCTCCCCTACTTTTAATGTTTAGTAACAATGTAGGTCCAATAAGATAGATTTTTTCACAAAAATCCTAAATTGCCCTTTTTTTTACAAAATTAAGAAAGAAAAATATAGTATATTCAATCATTTTCTTCCATACTTTACATAAATTAACAAGCTTAATTCCTAACAACCATCCAAGCATAAGTTCTGAAATCAAGTAGTTGTTCAAAAAATCCTAAATTACAGAAAATATCAATACTTGCCACGTAAAAAAAAAAACACGCACACAAACCTATTTGGCAATCAGTTGTACCAAAAATTATATATCAATACCTAAATACCTTTTCAATACAAGCTAATCTGACCTAAAACCGTCATTACAACCATCTTATAGTTTTAAAATTATTAATATCTCAAAAGTAGAGAATAAATTCTACCTCCATAATAATCGTAATAAAAAATCTAATCCAATGAAAGAAATCCATATATAATTATTGACATTTTATAAAAAAATTTTGTGACAACAAACAAAAAATGACAATTTTCACATCTTTAGTTCTTTTTCCTATCTCAATCATCAATTTCATTATTTATTTCTCTATCGCTGTGAGTCTTTTCATTTCCTTCTAATTTGACACATAATCTCCTCTCTGTTGCTTTGTGAATTTCAATTTGCTAATATCCACAAAATTGAAGATAATAAAAAGATGTTATTTTAATTAGAAAAGATAGGAGCGAAAATAAACAAGAGACAGAAAAATAGAATTTTTTGGGTTTTGTAAATTTATTGCCTTAAATTTAAAATTGTCTATCAAGTGGAGGGTATTATAGGTATTTTACTATGCTAAGGGAGGTAAGTATAATTTTTTAAACTTGAGGGGAGCCGAGTGAAATTGTTAGAAATCTCAAGGGAGGTTTCTGAAATTATCCCTAATTTTATTTAGCATAGTTAAATGAGGAGAGAGGGAGACAGCAAGGAGAGATGACTCAGTCAATAAAGAAAGGCATTAATGAAGAAGTATCTCAAGAGCATGCCACCTCTCCATCAGTACTACTAACTATTCTCTTTTGTTTGTTTTCTGATTTTCTTACTCTTTTTGGTTTCTGTTGCTGGCGCTGCTGCTGCCTTCCTTGAACATTTCTTTAATTTTCCCAGTCCACGCCCCCCTCCTCAAACCTTTCATCTATCCCCTCCCTCCTTTTGTGTGCACCTTTCTCCCCTGATTTCTCTTCAATTAACATTCCTCTCCTTTTGAAATTTCCCAACACAAATTACTTAGCAGCAAACTTCTCCTTTTCCTTTTTCCTTGAAAATTTTTTTTTTTCCAGGATTGAAGAGAACTTAAGTTGGAAGAAGAGATGTTCGAATGGTTACAAGCTGCAATAGTGGCAGCATGTATAGTAGCTTTTGTGTTGATAATTGTGATCATCAAGAGATGTTTCTGTTCCAATAGAAAGCGTAGAGAAATTCTTGGCGGAAATGAAGAAACAGTGCCTCAGAGGTTGGAATCAGGAACAGCAAAACTTCACCATGTGAGTCTTCATCATCTTGATCGAGATGGAAGCAAGAGAACAAATTATTATGTTTTCCGACGTGGGCTATCTACAAGACCTTTTTTCAACTGGGCTGATCATCCTTCTCTTGTCACCGATGCTGTTGAAAATGGATGGTCAAGATTTGCTTTTACAACCTTTACACCATCTCCCTCAGCTCGATCAACAA